CATGGTCAGTCATGTGGGAATGTCCAGTGCCCTAACCACCAGGCCACCTGCTGGCACCCTGACTTCTTCTATACAACTTAGAACTGGGTAAATAATACTTGAGTAACGTAGCACAGTGCGTGGTACATGGAAGTATTGAACATTACTTTAAATCATGGATTTATATCGACACATTTCTGAAACTGAGACATATGATTGACTCAAAATATATAAAACAAAATTTGATGGAAATATGCAAAAAATAGACTTCTGTAATCATAGTGAGAGATTAAAAAAAATACTTTACTCAGTAACTGTAAGAACAAGCAGGGAACCAGCAGTTAGCGTAATGGCTATGTCACTGCACTCCCACGTAGTTGACCGCGGTTCGTGTCCCGGACCCGGTGGCTTAAAACTCACGCCGGGCGCGTGTGCGTGCGTGCCCAAGATCCCGAGAGGAGAATGGAGGAGAAGGGATTGCGGCGTGACCATCCCCCCTGGGGGGTGATTTCTCGCTTTCTGTCTCTATGTCTCTCTGTCTGTCTGGCGAGCGCACGCGCCCTACAGTGAAAATCTCTCAAAAACAAAAAAAAAAAAAAAAAGAACAAGCAGACAAAAAAAGGAAAGAGACAGAAAATTTAAACATGGGGCCAGCAGGTGGTGTGGTAGTTAAGGTGCTGGACACTCCCACATGGCTGACCATGGTTCGAGTCGTGGACCTGGTGGCTTGCTTTCTCACTTTCCCTCTCTGTGTGTCTCTCTCTGGTCAAATGAAAAGGAATGAATGAATGAATAAATAAAATTAAATAAATAGTTATAAAAAAAAAGAAAAGAAAATCTAAACATGATTAGCAACCTTAATCTAGTGAGCATATATATGTAACTCCATATCCAACAACTGCAGGATATACTTTCTTCTTAAGCATGCATAGATCATTTATAAACATTTACTAAATAATGGGGCCTGCAGGTGGCGTGGTAGTTAAGGGCGCTGGACTCCTACATGGCTGACTACATGTAGTTCGAGTCCCGAACCTGGTGGCTTGCTTTCTCACTCTCTCTCTCTCTCTCTCTCATTCTGTTCCTCTCTGGTCAAATTAAAATAAATAAATAAATAAATATTAATTCTTGTTGAAAAAATCCTCATGTTTAAAAAATATAGCAAATACTACATTATAAAGTACATTTCAAAGGAGTTTTAAAAATCATATGAAACTGCTATGTCCAACATGGCAGCCACCAGACATGTGTAGATCTTTAAATTCACTAACATTAAATACAATTGAAAATTCAGTTCTTGGGTTGTACTGGTCACCTCTCAAGGGCTCCCTTGCCACAAAGCATCTATCATATTAGGCAACACAGATATAGAACATTTTCTTCACTGAAGAAAATCCTATCAGACAAGCACTGAGAGAGAGTATGTTCTTTGACCACAATGCAATTACAGCAGAAATTATCAATAAAAAGACAGCTATGGGGGCCAGCAGGTGGTATAGTGGTTAAGGTGCTGGACTCACACAGGGCTTACTGAGGTTGAATCCTGGACCTGGCAGCTTGAAACTCATGCTGGGCACAGGTGTGTGCGTGCCCAAAACCCCAAGAGGACAATGGAGGGAGGAACAGGGATTGTGGCATGGCCATCCCTCCTGTGAGATGATTTCTCTCTATATATCTCTGTGTCTCTGGCGAACACATGTACCCTATATCAAAAAACTCTCTTAAAAAAAAGAACGCAGCTATGGGATGCCCTGTATCCTAGTGGTTAAGGGAACCAGATCCCAGACACACATGGCTTACTATGGTTTGAATCTTGGGCCCACAGCTTGAAAAATATGCTAGGTGTGTGTGTGTGGGTACCCAAAATCCCAACAAGATGGAGAAATGGAGAAAGGATTATGGCATGACTATGTCCCACTGGGGGGTGCTTTCTCCCTCGCTTTCTCTGGTAAACACATGCATCTTCTGGCAATTAAAAAAAATTGAAATGATAACTACAGAGTTCATTGTATTTTGGGGAAAAGGATTTACACTTCCAAATACCCATGGGTGTGGGAACCAGCAGGTGGCGTGGTGGATAAGGCACTAGACACGCCCACAAGGACAACCATGGTCTTTCCTACTCTCTCTCATCAAATTAAAATAAATGAATAAATAAATCATTATTTTAAAAAATACCCATGAATGAAAATAAATCCAAAGATAAATTATAAAATATTCTGAATGAAATGCAAATGAAGAACATTTTAGTAGTTGAGGTGTTCTCCCAAGAAAATATTCATGTAATTGGGGGATACTCACATTCTCGAAAATGACTTAATTTGGTCATTACTTCCTCTTTGAACAGCTGGATCACCTGCTCAACGATTTCTCGGTTTCGATTCTGGCCCAAGGTGTACAGATATTTCTCCAGGAGAGGAACATTTTTCAGATTCCAGATGAAGTCCTCCCGCTGAAGACAACTTAACTTTGGGTGATGGAATTTCTAAATTAAAAGCAAGAGACTCTCAGACTCTAGACAGCTAGTGCAACCCCTACCGAAAGATCTGCTGTGTGCTAGGAGACCACCCGCTCCACAGTGGCCTGGGTGTGCCTGCAGGAGAAAGCTGGCATTCGCTCATGGTCATTGACTTGCCCCATTTACACGAATCCACAAAATATTACGACCTTCACATTTGCACAAGATCTCAGTTTGGGGAACATATTCTCACTTCACTTGATTCTCATAACTGTGTGAACATGGCTCTTATTATCTACAGTTCACAAACGGAACTGGGGGTAGCTCTGAAGAACTCTGCTCTCACCCACGTGATCTGACACTGGCCCCTCCTCTGCTCTAGTTTCACCTTCTACTGCTTTTGCTCACACCGGCCTCCCTGCTGTTAAATAAACATGCCAGGCATGTTTCCTACCTCACGGCCTTTGGGTTTACTATTTCCTCCTCTTGGGATGCTCTTTCCTTAGACCACAACATCATCAATGCCCTCATTTCCACCAGGTCTTTACTCCAAAAAAATACCTTCTCTGTGAGAACCTCTGACCACTCCATATCTAATTTCAACCCTCTCTCCATTATGTTGTGTCCCATGAATACAGCGTGCAGGATAGGAAGCTGCTCTGGGTGAGTCGTGAGTGGGGGCTGAGTGGGTGTGGAAGCCTAGGACGTTACCCTACTGAAGACTTTTTAAACACTGTGCTCCTAGGCTACACTCACTGTACAGAGAAATATTTTTTCATTCTTCACTAATAAACTAACATTAGCTTATTGTAACTGTTTTATGCTATAAACACTTTTCTTTTTTAATTTGCCAAAGGCTGTGTATACTTGCAGAGAGAGACAGACAGAGACTGAGAAAGCACTCCCTAATGGGGCATGGTCATGCCACAATCCCTTCTTTTCCATTTCTCCCTCTTTTGGGGATTTTGGGCATGCATGCACATGCGCCCATGTGATTTTCAAGATGCCAGGTCAAGGACTTGATCACCCATGATCAGCCATGTGTGAGTCCAGCATCACCTGCTGGCCTCCATGAATTTCTAAAAACGTACGTAGGCTTTCCAATATGCCAGTGAAGTACGGACCTGGCAGAAAGCAGCCTTCCTGTTAAAACTCCATATATCTGAGACCCCAGTCCCTCATAACACACCTCAGAAAGCACCATGTACGGAAATACTCTGATTGTGAGTTAATTTAAAGAATAATAAACATTCTAACAAAAACCTTTTATAAATGAAATAACCCCTCACGTTGTACCTCCAGGGTCTTATCCAGCGAGGCGGCCAACCTTCCAATGTTGTATAAGAGTTGGGCACTGAAGGGAATCTCAGCGACAGGTCTTCCTGGGAGGTAGGTCAGCAGCCTCACCAAGTGGCTTTTGACTCCAGAGCCGCTATCTAGGTGGAAAGAAAGGTACAGCCAGTCAACTAGTCTCAAAAAAAAAAAAAAAAGAGAAGTGATTCTTCCTCAAGGCCAGCAGGTGACACAGTGGATAAGGCTCTGGACTCCCACACAACAGACTGCAGTTCAAGTCCCAGACCCAGTGGCTTGAAAATCACACCAGGCGTGTGTGCACGTGTGCCCCAAGTCTCAGGAAGAGAATGAAGGAGAAGGGACTGTGGGGTGGGCAATTCCCAGGGGGTGATTTCTCACTCTCCCTCTCTCTGGAGAGCATACATGTCTTATTGCAAAAATCTTAAACAAAAAGAAAAAGAAGTGAATCCGCCTTCATAATTATTATGGAAAAGAAGAAATGACAGAATGAGAATGAGAGAAATATGTGCTAATCTGAAACAACCTGGCAGAACTGCATGGGCAGAACCGAGGAGGTGAAGCAAGCAGGTCTACCAGTTCATTCTCACACCCACAAACTTAGAGCTCCAACTCTGCTGGCTGGAGCCTGAACAGAAATTACCTCCCATGGCAAGAGAGTGCAGGAAACTCACTCTTTCATGCGTTAATATTGAAGAGAGTGAGCTGTAAAGAAATGACTACTCCGGGGCCAGGCCCATAGCCTAGTGGTTAAGGGAGCTGGATCCCTCACGGTGGACCACAGTTCAAATACTAGCTCTGAGGACTTGAAAAACATGCCAGGCAGGGGACCAGCAGTTAGCATAATGGCTATGTCGCTGGACTCCCTCGTAGTCAACCGCGGTTCGCATCCCGGACCTGGTGACTTAAAACTCATGCCAGGCGCGTGTGCATGTGTGCCCAAGATCCTGAGAGGAGAATGGAGGAGAAGGGATTGCGGCGTGGCCATCCCCCCTGGGGGGTGATTTCTCGCTTTCTGTCTCTCTCTTTCTCTCTGTCTGTCTGGCGAGCGCACGTGCCCTATAGCAAAAACCTTTCAAAAAAAAAAAAAACAAAACATGCCAGGCATATGTGCACAAGTGCCCCAAGTCCCAACGAGATGGAGAGAATGGAGAAGGAACTGGGTGTGCCCATGCCCATTGGGGGTTGCTCTCTCCCTCTCTCTTTCTGTCTTTCTATAGTGAGTCACATGCTCTCTGGCAATTGAAAAAAAGAAGGGCCAGCAGGTGGCATGGTGGTTAAGGTACTGGTCTCCCATATGGTTGACCATGGTTCAAGTCCCAGACCTGGTAACTGGCTTTATCACATTCCCTCTCTCTCTTTGGTGAGTACACATGCCCTTCAGCAAATTAAGAATAATAATAAAAAATAAAAAAATAATTAAAAATAAATAAATAAAACAAAAGCAAAACATAAAAAATTAAACAACTATTCAGAGGCTCCTCGGGGCAAACTGAGGTACAGGGTGTGCTTGCAATGAGGACAGTAATGACTCCTCAGGGACCACGTGGGCCCCAGCTGCACAGAGCAATGCAGATCAGGAAACACTAGCTGAACGATTAGAGAAAAAGTGGAGATTTCAAACCTTGAAGAAACCTTTCAAATCTAAGCAACTGACTCCAGGGTGCTGGCAGGCGGCGTGGTGGTTAAGGGCGCTGGACTCTCACATGGCTAACCACAGTTCGAGTCCCAGATCTGGTGGCTTGCTTTCTCACTTTCTCTCTCACTCTGTCCCTCTATGGGGAAAATTTAAATCAATAAATAAAGTTAAATAAAAATAATTTTAAAAAAAGAAAAGAAAAGGAAACTGACTCCAGGCTGATGCTTAGAGAACTGAATTATAACTGAGCCTTCAAAGCCTTTCTGCAGTTCATGGAAAATATGTACTGTGAAAAACCCATGTGTGGATTTCAATATTTCGCATGAAAATAAACTCATACTTTAATTCCATTTTTCATGACCTTAGTAAAAAGCCCCCTCATAAATGTAGATGCAGAGGTGAGAGGGATGGCAAGATGAGAACTGCAGCCTCAGGAATTCAGGTGTCCTGCCCAAGGTCACGTACTCAGAATGACAGAGCTGGCATCTAAAATCCCTGATTTCTAGTCTCACGTTCGTTCTACTAGACCACAGCACGGAAACACATACTTAATGATTTTTCTGGTTTAAAACCAACAACAAAAAAATGTTCTCCTGATTTTCACAAGTCCCTTTAGTTACAATCCATTAGGATCTTTTTTTTCTTTCTTGAGATTTTTTTTTTTTTTTTTTTTTTTGCCATAAGATACATGCACTTGCCAGAGAGACAGAAAGACTGAAAGCAAGAAATCACCCCTTGGAGGGATGCTCACAATGCAATTCCTTCTCCATTTATCGTGGGGTTTGGGGCACACACAGACAGACATGTGCTTGGCATGAGTTTCAAGCCCATGGGTCTGGGACTTGAACTGCGATCAGCCATATGGGATATGCCATCTGCTGGTCCCCAATCAGGGTCTTTCTAAGCAGAAAAATGACACCAGCTTTGGTTCTAACCACTTGTGACTCAGAGCCCCGATCTCCACTTTGGGAGGCTGTGGTTTCTCCCAATAAACAACCTCACCTACCCTTGGGATTCTGAACTGTTCTGGATATTTCTACCTGTTGCCCGAGCGCAGTACTGTGTCCGGGTAGATGGCAGCGTGGCAGCCGGTGTCTTACCTATGGACATGAGAGACGCTGTGTGGTCCCCTTTGGTGTGACACACAGAGGCCGTCGGGAAGCCAGCTGCTTTCAGAAACATCATGACTTGACTCTGTACTTCAATCAGGTCTGGGTGGCTGCTAGACTCGGTGTTGCTTATTTTGAGAACAAACTCAGTCGGGCCATCCGTCGTATCTTTGCTTTTTGAAACGTACACGTGAAAGTTTTGGTCATCGTAGCTAGGAAGTGGCTTGATCTTGGAAACTTTCAACCCGAATACCGATTCCACTAACGCGGAGGCCTGTATGTCACTGAGAGCGGGTTTGGTAAGGGCCTGTGATTGCTGGCCATCTCCGCTTGACATCGTGCCTGGGGGGAAGAACAATGAACCAGAAGGGGACAAATAACAAGTATATTCACTCGAGTGATTTTTCTATAGACCATTAATGCTTCTCTACCAGCGAGGGAAAAGGGCTTAAACTCGGGAGGTAGGGGCCAGCAGGTGGCACGGTGGTTAAGGCGCTGGACTCCCACATGGACAACTGGTTCCAGCCCCAGACCCAGTGGCTTGAAAATCATGCCAGGTGTGTGCGTGTGTACATGCCCAGATCCCAGGAGGGGATCCCCTGAACGGTGATTTCTCACTTTCCCTCTCACTGTCTCTCTGTCTCTCCCACAAACACATGTACCCTCTGGCAAAAGCCTAAAACAATAAAACCAAGGGACCAGCAGTTAGTGTAATGGCTATGTCACTGGACTCCCATGTAGTCAACCGCGGTTCGAGACCTGGAGCCAGTGGCTTAAACACATGCCAGGCCCGTGTGCGTGTATGCGCAAGATCCCAAGAGGAGAAGGGAGGAGAAGGGATTGTGGCGTGGCCATCCCCCCTGGGGGGTGATTTCTCACTTTCTCTCTCTCTGTCTCTCTCTCTTTCTGGCAAGCGCATGCACCCTATAGCAAAAACCTCTCAAAAAAATAAATAAAAAATAAGTAAAACTGAAAACAAACAACTCAGGGAGGTGTACTGGGGCTCAACTCTGACACCTCAAGTGATAGTGACAGCACAAACCGCAAATGCCACCTCCCCAGCCTGTGGCCCTCCCCGACTCTCCTACCCACAGGGATTTCTCCTGCCTGTAATCTGCACGGCCCCATGTGCCGCTATCAGTTTCCAGCACCTGTTATAATTACTACATTCTTGACAATCACTTCTCGTGCATACTTTCTGACCACAGCTTTGCTTTTCAGAAGCAAGTTAAGCCCTTCAGATCTTGTTCGCCAGAGATATCATGACAAAGCCTAAGCAGGGTTCAAAGCGCCTGCACCTGCAGCTTCTGGGAACGCAACGATCCCGTCACACTGCATCTGGGTTTAAGACTTTCCATGGAATTTGAACGTTCCTTCTGGAGCTATGTAAAGCGATGGGTGAGGCCAATATTCAGAATGTAATAGGAACTGAAGCATCAAGGCCAAGATGAGCTTGCAAAGGGATTTTTCAACTCCCAGAGCATTAGGGTGGTCAGAGTAATTCTGGCTCTGACATGAACGGTAAGTTCCTTTTTTTTTTTTTTTTTTTTTTGAGAGATTTTCATTGTAGGGCGCGTGCGCTCACCAGACAGACAGAGAGAGAGAGACATAGAGACAGAAAGCGAGAAATCACCCCCCAGGGGGGATGGTCACGCCGCAATCCCTTCTCCTCCATTCTCCTCTCGGGATCTTGGGCAGGCACGCACACGCGCCCGGCGTGAGTTTTAAGCCACCGGGTCCGGGACACGAACCGCGGTCGACTATGTGGGAGTCCAGCGACATAGCCATTACGCTAACTGCTGGTTCCCATGAACGGTAAGTTCTTAAAGCTGGAAGGAAGCTTGGAGACAATGTGTGAAGGCCAGTGGCCCTTCCAGTCCAGAAGACATTCCCGTCACACCTCTGATCGGGGCTTGTGAAGCTCTGTTTGAAGAGCTCTTTTCTAAAGCAACATGAAGCAATGCTGGGGCTCTGGTGTGATAGAAAATGTCTGTACTGGGAGAAGTAAGATCTACTGGGGCTGGCAGATGGTGGTGGTGAAGGTGCTGGACTCCCACATGGCTGAGTGTGGTTCAAATCCTGGACCTGGCAGCTTGCTTTCTCACTTTCTTTCTGTCTCATTCTCTGGTCAAATTAAAAAAATAATAATGATGGATAAAATGAAATAAATCATTCTTAAAAAAAAAAAAGATCAGATCTATTTTAGGAGCCGGACAATGGGACAGTGTTAAAATGTGAGGCTCTGGGAGGCCGCCCCACGTGCAAAGGTTCTGAGTTTTCTAGCCTTGTATATGCCCACAAGCTGGGGCTGACTGAGGCTGGGGCTGAATCGTAGCACTGAGACCCTGCTGGGGGTGCTGTCTCCCCATAAATGAATAAATACAAAGACATGCATAGACTCAGCTCTGACACCTAACCTCTGGAACTTTGGACTAGTCCCTTCTCTTCTTTTCTCTTCTTTTTTTAAAAAATCATTATTTTATTTACTTATTCATTTTTTTATTTCAATTTGATCAGAGAGGGAGAAGGAGAGAGAGAGAGAGAGAGAGAGAGAGAGAGAGAGAGAGAGAGAGAGAGAGAGAGAGAATGTCTGTACTGGGAGAAGTAAGATCTACTGGGGCTGGCAGATGGTGGTGGTGAAGGTGCTGGACTCCCACATGGCTGAGTGTGGTTCAAATCCTGGACCTGGCAGCTTGCTTTCTCACTTTCTTTCTGTCTCATTCTCTGGTCAAATTAAAAAAATAATAATGATGGATAAAATGAAAATAAATCATTCTTAAAAAAAAAAAGATCTATTTTAGGAGCCGGACAATGGGACAGTGGTAAAATGTGAGGCTCTGGGAGGCCGCCCCACGTGCAAAGGTTCTGAGTTTTCTAGCCTTGTATATGCCCACAAGCTGGGGCTGACTGAGGCTGGGGCTGAATCGTAGCACTGAGACCCTGCTGGGGGTGCTGTCTCCCCATAAATGAATAAATACAAAGACATGCATAGACTCAGCTCTGACACCTAACCTCTGGAACTTTGGACTAGTCCCTTCTCTTCTTTTCTCTTCTTTTTTTAAAAAATCATTATTTTATTTACTTATTCATTTTTTTATTTCAATTTGATCAGAGAGGGAGAAGGAGAGAGAGAGAGAGAGAGAGAGAGAGGTGGGGGGCGACTGCGGTCAGCCACGTGGGAATCCAGCACCCTTAACCACCACGCCACATCACCTGCCAGCCCCTCTTCTTTTTCTGTCTTCCTTCCTTTTTTTTTTTTTTAAATTTTTGCTATAGAGCACATGTATTCACTGGAGAGACAGAAAGCGAGAAATCACCCCTCCTCCCCAGGGGGAATGACCATGCCATAATCCCTTCTCCTCCATTCTCTTGGGATTTGGGGCACTCATGCACAAGCACCCCGTGTGTTTAAAGCCACCGGGTCTGGGACTAGAATCATGGTCGACTATGTGGGAATCCAGTGACATAACCATTACGCCATCTCTGGCCCCAGAGCTAGTCCCTACTCTAACAGAGTGAGACTAGACCTTTGAAAGTCCCTTGCAGCACCAACTTTCCAGGCTTCTAAAATTCTTTCTTTTCTAATTTAAGTTTGCCTTCTTTCTTTCTACACCAGGACTCTAAATTGTGGAATCATCGGCACAGACTAGGTCAGCTTCTGAAAGTGAACATGTACAAAGGAAGAAACGCATTTGTTAGAGATCTCATCTTAGCCAAAGGTCTCCTGGGGTGGGATGGAGATGAGACAGTCAAGTCCCGTCCGCCATGGCTCTATATACCCTGCCAACAGTACTGCGCTGGGCTCCTGAAAAAGCCCTCAGGAAGCAAGTGTTTTCCATCCTCGTGGTGTGTGCCAGATTTCCATAACCTTTTTCCTACAGCCAGGGGGCTGGACCTTCAATTTTGCACTTTGTGCAAGGAATACCAGACTAGAAACAGGAGTCATTTAAGATTCTTTCCTCTCCTTCACTCCCCAAGTGTTACAAAGCCTAGGACATTCTTCCTTAGCTTGTCTCCAAATCGACTTTTTCCTTCTTCTGCAGTCTCTTCTGCTGTGCCCTTCCAAGGCTGGACAGCAGGCTCTGGCTGCAGTAAATCTGTATTTCTCAGTAACTAGCCTGGTGCTTTACTTAATCTTAAATGACGGACCGAGGGTTGCCCTTTACACCACAGGCTCACTAGACTGTGGCGCCCAAGGAGAATCAGGAAACAGTAAGGGGAAGAATCTAGAATCTAATTTTTCAAAGACAACAAGGAACTATGGCTGCTGTAAGGGTCTTTCTCTTAGGGAAAAGAAAAGAATCGTGGGCGAGTGGGCGGCAGAAGGCTTGCTGAATCAAGAGGAAACTAAAGGAGGTGGAGGGCACCCAAATCAGGTTCACGTGGTCGTTGTTTTAGCTTTAGTTGTTTGGTGTAAACTTAGCCTTAATTTTTCCCGCCAGACTCCTGGCCTGGAGTGCCAAGCGCTGCACCTTTGCTCTGCGTGTCTGGACACAGGTCTCGGAAGTTAGACCGAACGGCTTCTCAGGTGGCACGCTTTCATTCCGGATCTCAGCCAGCACTTCTGGGTCACAGGTGGGAACCAGAGGGGAGAGTGACTTGCCCTCACGCTCACAGGGAGTCTGAATGCAGCCGGGGCTGGAGGACATCGGGGTACAGGACTCCCAGCTCCAGCCACGCAGCGAGCTTCCCTGCTCTCGGGGTGTCCACCCTAAGGGGACTCGGGGCTTGCCTCTGCTTTCCCCACCTCCGCTCACCCGCGCAACGACCCGACGTCCTGGGGTGGATCCGCTCTCCAGCAGCCAGGTATTCCGGCGGCGATTCCGCACTAGGAAGAGTTGCCAAAGCCACAGTGCTCGGGTCCACTTCCTCCGGAGCCCCAAGAACTCTGGCTTCTGATTGGCTCCTCCAAATCCCTCGCCTCCCAGTCAGCACCGAATACAGGGAGGGAGGCGACGCTCTCCCTGCGTCCACCAGGCCTTTTCCAAACCTCGCCCGGACCCCGCCCCGGCCCCGCCCCAGAGACGAACAGAAATGTAAAAATAGGGTTTCTGATTGGATACTGAAATTCTGGTCCCACCTTCTCCGGGTGAACAGTCCAGTCAGAATTCAGACATATTTTTTACTAAACAGAATTTGTTTTCATTGGCTCCAAGAGGCTCCGCCCCACCCGGCGAGTAGCCATTTAGCAGGGTTTCAGTTCTTGAGTGGCATCTCTCACCGCCGT